AGATGCTGCTGCTGATGACAGAGCACTAATTGGCAGAGAGGAGGAGATGAGAGGGCACAGACTGTGCGGTTTCGGAGACTTCTCCAAACGAGGTGACAGTGGTCAGTTGTTGTGACTGTGGTGGCTGTAGGCAAATGATGCGACAGTAGAGCTGATGCTGATGCTGCTGCTGAGTGGAAAACGCAGATGCAAATTACCGTTGCAAGTGCTCCCGTTCAAGTGCAGCAGTGATGGTAATTAGCGAAAAGGAAGTGAACTTGAAAGCTGTTTCTGCTGTTGATGATGACTTGTGTTTTGCGAGCAGTTTACGGCTGCTCGGCGATCGTTGACCAGAGGAGAGCTAAACGCAGCTAATGTGGCCGACTGACCGATGGTGAAAGAGCACACACGATGATGATGGCGAGTGGAGGAATAGAGCAGACACTGCTCTCAAAAGCAGCAGCGGGCGCGAAAAACCGGTAAGGTAATTAAGAAATATGTGAAAATCTGCCAAAGTGTGTGGTGTGCGGCGAACTGACTTCACCAACACCACTTTACTCGCCCGAGTAATGGCAGTTTTCAGTCTTCTTCGTTGCTGCAGTTGTTGTTGAGCAGGCAGGCAGCAATGAATGGAATCGTTGTTGTTGTTGCCGGCGCCGACGTTTTAGCCATCATTTTCTAGTGGCAAGTAGTGAAGTACTGTGCGCGGCAGCAGAAGGAGAAGATATCGCCCAGATTGGGCCATTTTCGAGGGAAGAGACACAGAGGAGATGAGAGGAGAGGAGATAATCACAGCTATTACGCATCACACTGATGCGATGAAGAAAGAGGAGTGCTCTTCTTTCTTCTAGCTCACTTTGTCTGCCAGCACACCTAACACCTCGAAGTGAACAACAGGAACACAGAGAAAAGTCGAAAAAGTGTCGGAGTGTGTGTGCAAAACAAACACTGCTGGTGCTGCTGATCTCTCCCTTGAGCCAATTATTCTCGGGTATTATCTTCTCTTCCTCTCTTCACAGGGAGGAGGATTATCCGCATTGCACGAAGGCAGTGATTTTTTTGGGTAGTGCTGATCCGTGATCAGTGCTTGATCGTGCTGAGGTGTCGGTGCGGCTACTGACGCCGGTGATTTCGAGCTGCTGCTGCTGTCGACTACCAACGCCGCTGCAAGAGTACTCTGTCAAACTGCTTTGAAAAAGAGAAAGAGAAAAAGAGATCTGTCAGTGGTGACTGGTTACGTTGGCTGAAGGGGACTACCACCACTGCCAGTGACTGCCACTGACGGCACTAAATGGGAGTCAGTGTCAATAGGCTGTGTCGTCAAATTACCATTTGTGGTTACGCACCAAATGCAGGGCGACATTTGCTGCTGCTGCTGGTACGGCTGGTTAGGTTGTGGTGGTCGTGGTGGCGAGAAAACAACAGACAAATAACGCTCGCACTGACACAACGTGAACCGATCTCTTCTTGTCCAACGGCAGAGTTGTCAGAGTGCAGGAGAAGATAAACAAACAAATAACAATAAACGAGACTCTTTAGCTGCCGTTTCTGGTGCTGGCAATTTTGGTGACGGTTGCAGACTCTGCAGAGGAGGTAAACAATGCACAGGAAGCTCACCAAACTCGGTGGCGAGGTTGAAACCTTTGTTGTTGGTGGTGGTGACCGTGGAAGTGTTGGCGATGGTGAGAAATGAATGAAGAACAGACAGCTTTCCTCGATTGCCACCAACTCTCGCAGTTGTGGATTGCAGTAGCGGTGAGTAAGAGAGAGAAAGAGAGAAAGAAGTGCTCTGCGCTTCGAGGGTGATGCTGCTTCGATATCACTGCCGTGTTGCAGGCGCTTGTAGAGGATAGCAGTGCTCGATTTCGGATGAAGACTGGTCCGAGGGAACGGAGAGAGAGAAAGATTGAGGAGGGAAAGAAATCACAGCAAGTGCAATGTGGTTGTGTGTGAGCGAGCGAGGATGCCTGGCAGATTACGTCACACTGGCTGGTGGTGGTGATGGCGGCGATGATACTCGACTAGCGGGATGTGCTGGTGGCGATGACATTAGGTCAGCTAGCGCTTGATGATTTTTAGAGAGAACAGGACTTTACCCTCAGTGGCAATGCGATTGTGCGTTTCGGTGATGGAAATTGTAATGTTGTAGGCAATGAGATCATCCGGTGAGTGAAACCCTTCTTCCGAGAGGGCAATGTCAGCCAGAAAAAAAATCGGCAAAGAACATCGGTGTGGAATGTGCTTCAGCAGCGGTAGCAGCAGCCACAATCACATTGGTGCCATGACACATCACACGCTGCTATTGCCTGGTTAGTAGTGTGTGCAGAATCCTGCGTAGTGCTTCGACAACGGCTGCTTCAGGCGCGTCACAACGGCGGCAGCAGATCGAATCGGTAGCGATGAAAGAGAAAGACTCGGTTTTGACCAAGGCTAAAAGAGGTTCGAGTTGAGTTGCGTAGGCTGAACTGGTGAGAGACTGGTGGTGATGGTGGTGGTGTTGGTGAGAGGGTGGCGTGAGTGCCTTGCCACTGAAGAAGTCAGTCACAACGGCAGTGTTTGAGTTCGAGAATTATATAGAGCAGAAGAGTAGAAGAGAGTACGAAAGTTCAAGGGAACACTGAGAACTGAGAAGAACTGAAGAACTGAGGCGGATAAGGAGAAGACTTCTGCCAGCGTGTGCTGAGAGGACGGTTATATAGAACTGAACCAGGCCTGGACAGAGTCCAAGGTGGTGGTCTGCACTTCTCTTCTGCTTCAGAATCTCCGGGTCTCAGGCTTTGCAGCAGAATCCGCGAATGGGCAAAAGAGGCGCCAATGATTCACGCTGAAACGCCGGTGTTGTCACGCTGGTGGCGGTGGTCTGTTCCAAAAGTGCCGGCGGAGGTCGACGGTCGTAGGTCGTCGCCGTCGTCCTTTCACCGAGACCAAAACAACAGAAATGGAAAGAGGAAAAGGTCTGCAGACGACTAGGACACAACTGAGCGAGGACGAGTCTTCGAGTTCTCTCGGCCAGACTCAAAGCACAGAGACTCGGTCGGTTTGTTGTCGTTCGCGCGCTCGCAGCCAGACACAACTGTGCTGCTGCTGCTGGCCAAGCTGCTGAAGCAAGCTGCAAGCCAGCAAGTCTTCGGCGACTGCACTCTTCTGACCACTCCTTTGGAGAGTGAGGGGAAGAGGGAACGAGAGAAAGATCGTTTGCAGCAGCCAGTCTGTCTGTCTGTTCTTCGGCAGCGGCAGCAGCAGAAGCAGTTTCAGTCAGTCAGAAGTGATGAGAGAAATGGCAGTGGTCTGACAGTAGTCTGCAGTCAACTGTCGGTGACTGATGTCAGCGGCGCTTTTCCAGCCAAATGGAACCCAAAAACAGAATCGGAGAGCAGCAGCAGCAGCAGCAGTAGTAGTAGTAGTGAGAGGAAGGAGGCAATGGTCTGGTAAATTGAGTTGAAAGTGGTCAAGTTGTCTTCCTCTTCTTCTTTCGCTTCGATGGTCGTAATGAGAGTTCCTTCCTTCCGTCCAAAAGCATCGATCGGCTGCGGTTTCTCTCTTCTTTTTTTTCGAATTGTCCACTAAAGGGTCACTGACCACTACTTTGGGTGACAAGAGCGAAAGGCAAAGGCAAAGGTCGGAAGGCTTGTCTACCACGGCTGTGTCCATGCAAATGAAACTTCAGGGTTCCACACTATTCTCTGGAGCTTTATGGTAATTAGTTGTGCATAGTTGGCTGCTACTATAGCAGAACTCTGTGTCCATCTTATCTATCTCTGCACAATTTCTGGTGTAATCTCTGCGGATTCATTTGCGCGCCAGAGTGCTTGACATTCCTCTTCCTGGTGGTCCATTTCTCCCGATTCTTGATTATTATTGCTGGCTGTAATTGATGGCAGTAATTCTCCCGAAGCAGATTGCGTCACGTCCTCGCTGCTATCTTTGTCTACGATGGAGGAGTTAATCCTACCCCCTTCTTCTCCTCTTTTTGCTAGTCGTGATTCCATTATTCTTATCGGATTGTGATGAGACAGAATGCTGAGACAGATTCGTGGAGATGGAATGCGGCCGGAATTTGCTGGCTTCTTTCTTCCTCGCTTGAAATAAAGCGCGAGAATGAAAAAGCAGCCGCGTTTGCGGCAACGTGACTGACAAAATACTGTGGCGCCGCCTGACGATCAAAAAGACAAAAAAATCAAAAATTGATTTTTTATCTCGATGTAAAATTCAAATTGAACACAAAAACATCAGCAAAAAAACAAACCAGACCTCAAGAAGGCAAAAAGGTATAATAATATTTTATTGGATCAGCAGCATTACAGAGAGTGTGGCATTGACCAGAAGAAAAGAACTGGATGGTGAGGAGGAGACAGCACACAGAGAGCAAACACAGAGAGATTGATAGTGAAAAGATTGACAAAAGATAGAGAGAGAGACTTTGAGAAAGATGTTGAAAAAAAGAGGCAGCAGCAGGCAAGAGATGTTGGTTGTTGGTTGGCACTTGGTGGTGGTAATGGTAGTGTTGGTGGTGGTGGTGGTGGTCTTCAGCAGACGTCGACAAAACACACAGCAGCAGAAAAGGGAAAAGGTAAAATAAAGATATAAGATGTCATCTAAGACAGAGTTGGTTTGGTTTGGTGTACTGTTTGACTACTGATTTCCAAAAACTATTATTATTATATAACAATGTGCTTTTATTATTTTTTTGTAATAAAGACGTAGGAAAAGGAGAGAAAGAGAGAGAGAGAGAGAGAGCGAGAGAGAGAAAAGGCTATCATCAGGTTGGTGGTGTGCGCGGCAAAATTTTGCTTTTTGTGAGTTTAATGTTTTCAGTAATAGTAAAGAAAGATTGATTANAGAGAGTGAGAGAGAGCGAGAGAGAAAAGGCTATCATCAGGTTGGTGGTGTGCGCGGCAAAATTTTGCTTTTTGTGAGTTTAATGTTTTCAGTAATAGTAAAGAAAGATTGATTAGATTGGTTGGTAGTTGTTTAGGAAATCATAATAATAAATAGGTGGTAGTTATAAGTGGTGGTGGTGTTTAAAAGTTGGAGCTTTCTTGTTCGGTGACAAAGACCTGGCGCGTGCCGCCGGGCACCTGGCTGGTGGTGACCCAGGAGCGGTGCTTGGCGCGGATGAACGACAGATTCGACTCGGCCTGGTCGGCGCGGTCCTCGGCCGCCTCCAGTTCGCGCTGGAAGCGACGGACGCGCGACAGGTTCTGCGAGCTCATGCCCTCCTGCAAACACAAACAAACAAAGGTTAGCATTAGCTTACATTCCACTTCCGGTTCCGGCAAACTCTCCCCCCCCCCACTTACCTGCTCCTGCATCTGTCGCTTGTAGACCTTGACCTTCTCGTTCAGCTTGTCGGCCATCTCCTGCAGCAGGTGCAGCTGCTTGTGGTCCTCCTCCGTCTGCAGCAGCAGCTCCTTCACGCGGTGGTCCTTCTTCCGCAGCATCTTCTCCGTCTCGGCGTGTCGTCGGCGCTCCTCCTCCACCTCGATCTCCACATCGCGGATGCGACTCTCCAGCTTGGCGATCACCCGCTTGCCGCCGGCCAGCGCATTCGCCTCCACCTCCTCGATGCGGACGTGCAGGTTGCGCACCTCCGTCTCCAGCGACTTCTTGATGGTGTCCAGCTTCTGCACGCGTTCCGTCTCCTCGATCAGCAGGTCCTTGGTGGACTTCACCTCGATGGTCAGCTTCTGCACGCGCTCGTCGGAGATCTGAAGAGAAGAAAAAGAAGGAGGTGATCAGAAAAAGAAGTTCGAAATGCCTCAACCCAAAAGTTCTGCTGATGACTTACTCGGAGCTCCTTGTGCACCTCGTCGTAGTCGTTCTGCAGGGCGCTGAACTCCGTCTCCAGCTTGCTCTTGGCGCTGGCCAGGTTGACGTTGATGGTCGTCAGCTCGTTCACTCGGACCACCGCCTCCTCGTGCAGCTGCTCGGCGGCTCGCTTCGCCCGCTGCGCCTGCTCCAGGTTGACGCGCATCTCCTCCAGCTCGGCGGTGAGCGCCTGGCAGCGGCGCTGGGTGACGCCCAGCTGGTCGACGGCCTGCTGCAGTTGACGATGCACCTCATCGTAGTGGGCTTGCAGCTCCTGGATAAGAGGGAGGGAAAGGGGAAAGGATGGTGATAAGTAAAAGGTAGTTGATAAGAAGATAGGACCGCATACAGTAATTTGCAGAGCCTGCTTCTTGATCGTCTTCTGCAGGTCAATGTTGGCCTTGTTGGCGGCATCCAGCGACAGCTCCAGCTCGGTAATCTGCGCCTGGTACTTCTTCTTCAGTCGAGCCACCTCGGTCTTCAGCTTCGCCTCCGCCTCGGCCAGGCGCATGTTCAGCTGCTCAATCTCGATCTGGTACTGCTTTCTGTTTTTCCGTTGGTAGAAAGAAGAGATTAGAACTCCTTAAACTTCCAAAAACGTTCCAACCAAAGATGGGACTCACCGCAGCGCCTCAATCTCCTCCTCCTTCTGCGCCAGTCGCTTCTCGTAGTCGTGGCGCACCTGGGCCAGCTCCGCCGTCAGTCGCTGGTTCTTCGCCTCCTCCTGCTTTCGCAGCGTCTCCGCCTCCTTGTAGGCGGCGGCCAGCTCCTCGCGCTCATTCTCCAGTCGCTTGATCTCAATCTCCTGCTCGTGGATGCGGCGGTGGGCGTCGTTCAGCTGCGACTTGGCCTCGGCGAGGTCCTCTGCGAGAAAAAAATGATAAGTTTAAGATGTTCTTTTTAATAGAAAAAACTACTTCTACTTACCAGTGAGCTTCTTGTTCTCCCGAGCCAGCGCCTCCTTCTGGTCGCGCAGCTTCTCATACTCATGCTGCAGCTTCTGCAGGTCGGCGATCTTCACGCGAAGGTCCTTCTGCGTCTGCTCCAGCAGGATGCTCACCTCCTCCAGCTTGCTCTTCAGATCGAGGTTGATCTTCTCCAGCTGGACGACCTTCTTCTCGAGGGCCTGCGCATGGGCGGTGGCCTTCTCCAGGTCCATGATCAGCACCTCCACCTCCGACTGCAGGCGGCTCTTCTGCTTCTCCAGGGAGCTGCACTTGTTCAGCAGCGCCTCCAGCTGCTCCTCGTACTCGGAGATCTTCTGCGCCATCTTGCGACTAAAGTGGTGGGGGCGTAGATTTTGTTGTTAGGAACTTTGAGGACTTAAAAAACCCATAACAGTTTTAAATTACCGGAGCTCCTCGACCTCGTCGGCGTGCGCCTGCAGCTCCGCCTCGTACTTGGACTTCCAGCTGGCGGCGTCGCCGTTGGCCTTGGTCAGCTGTCGCTCCAGCTCCAGGCGAGCCTCCGACTCCTCCTCCAGCTGCACCTTCAGCGACTCCAGCTCCACCTCCAGCGTGTGGGCGTGGTTCTCCAGGCTCGAGCGTTTCTAAACAAAAAAGAAAAACAGTTTTTATCAATAAAAACCTTCTTATCAGATTTTCCCTCCCTCCAAAGTCCACTTACGCGCTCCTCGTCCTCCAGTCGGTGGCGGGTGTCCTCCAGCTGCTGCGCAATCTGCCCCTTCAGGTGGTTGGCATTGTCCAGCGAGATCTTGTACTCGTGCACCTCCTTGATCAGCTCGGAGTTCTCCACACTCAGGCGCTGGCGGTGGGCGGTCACCTCGGTCACCGTTCGGTTCACCTCCTCGATCTTGATGTTCAGCTCGTGGACGGTGTACTCCAGCTTCTCCACGGTCTTCTGCGCGATCAGCTTCTCCTTGTTGGCCGTCTCCACCTGGGCGAGCAGCTCGAAGACCTCCGCCTGGAACTTCTGCTTCTCCTTGTCAGACCTGATAAAAAAATTGGGAGTTCGTAGAGTTTTAGAAAGATAGATTTTGGAAAGTTTTTTAGTAGCACTTACTTGTTCTTGGCCTTCTGCACCTGATCCAGTTGATCCTGCATCTCGGTGATGGCCGCCTGGTGCTTCTGGCGCAGGTGGTGCGCCGTCTCCTCGCTCTCCATGTGCACGTCCTCCAGCAGCTTGCGCAGCTTCGCCAGCTCAGAGTCGCGCTTCTTGTTCATTTCCGTCTAGAAAAAGGGGTTGATAAGGTATATTAGATTGATTTGATAAGCAATTTGATAAGGACAACAACAGTACGTACCACCGACTCGCTGGAGCCCTCCGCCTCCTCGAGGCGTTCCGTCAGGTTCATCAGCTGCACGGTGATGTCCGACTTTTCGCGCTCGACCTGGTGGAAAAAAAGAGGGAGTAAAGATTAGTTTTAAGCTTTATTTAAAACTGATAATCCCTAAAGAACTGATGAAAAGTAGTAGTGACCGTTTGGCATAGTAATACTGAAAAATAAATAGTGTTCTAAAACCTGCACAACTTCAGTGAAATCAATTAATCGATTTGCCGATTTCCAAACCCATTACCTTCCATGATACTATCTTGCATTATCACTGCAATGTATTTTTGCTGATATCATCTTCCTCCTACTTCTGGCACTCGATAAAAATACCTACAGCGGCAATAGGCGATTCCTTGCTTCTCTTTTTTTGAATGCCTGGCATCTTTGCGTTGGCGTCCTTTCTCTCTCTCCCTTTCTACATTCCCTTTTCCTTTTGGTGATTGTAATTGGCAGGCAGGCATTTCTTGCCTTCAACCAGCAAGCACCCATTTCCCCTCTACTCTTCAGTCTCCTTTGCCTGCCAACTCTGCTGCCAACTCTGCTGCCTGCTGTCTACTGTGTAAATAAAAAGGAAACCTTTTCTTTCACGTAAAGAAGAAGAAGAAGCCGAAGAAGCCATAAAGAAGAGCAATTCTCTGCAGCAACAGTTTCCTCTCTCCTTCTCGAATTCCATTGCCAAAAAGAGCGAGCAGGAGAGAAAAAGAGAGGGGCACATTATTTCTTTCAGATCCCCCTTTACCTAACCTAACGCCTAAAAACAGTCGCTCCAGCTTCACAGCAGCATTGAAAAATCACTGCTTTAAAAAATGTGAAGCATTTTTCAAAACAGTGCTCAGTGTTCAGTGAAGTGTTCAGCAGAAAAAGTAGGAAGTAGTAGTCTGCTCCAAACACGGCGGCAAACAGTGGAGGTAAAAAATGAATAAAAAAGGTTTTGATTTGTTTTTCTGCATAATCTAACCTAGCCCGTTATTGTTACCCTTCGGCCAAACGGTCGTACAAACCAATCAATCAATTCTGAACAAAATGAAAAAGAGTACTTACGCGCTGGCGGAGCTCGCGCTCGCTTTCCAGGTCCTCAGAAAGGAGGCGGATTTTGTCCTGGGGAAAAAGTTAAAGAAAAACAAATTATTAGCTTTAAACAAAAGTTCACAAAAAACCAAAAAGCAGCGCCGTTTCAAGGTCAGAGTTGAAAAGTCTACCTAGTCATTTTCCGCTAAGCCATCAATACTAGGGCTGAAAACACAGTGAAGATTAAGAAGAAGAAGTGAAAAATGAAGAAAGAAGCTGCCAATAAGGAAGGAAGAAAGGGAAAAGAAGACGGGAAACCAGCAACAAACACACAGTGAGCTTCATTCAGTAGAGCAAAACTGTGTGAAGTGCAAGTCAAAGTCGAGTGAAAGAAGCGAGTTGAGCCTCAAACGAAAGCGGCGGACTAAAAATAGAGCACAGTCGTTGCTGGCTTGCTGGTTGTACTTCACTGACGCTCTTTCTTGCTTCAATAATTATTGTTTAATAATTAGGTCTTTCCGATTAGCATCACTCGAATCATGTGCAACTGTTCAATCGTTTGGCAGCAGTCTCTGGAGCAGTTGCTGCTGCTGCTGCTGCAGCTCAGCAATCGCCCTCAGAAAAAAGAAAGAGGATTAACCTTGATCTCCAGAACGAAGTCAGCCAGCCAGCCACCTCGAATATCGATACAACGATTTGGTGAAGGCGCAGATGGCGTCAGTGCCCTTCATTGCCTTCATTGCACTTGTACTGCTGCACAGAGAGATTTGATGATCCCATCCAGTGCGGTAAAAGTGCGAGTGTTTATTTAGAAGTAGAAAAAGCATTTAATGTTTTCCCTCTCTTTACTGATTAAAACTGCCCGTGAATGCATTAACATTGGCCCTATTAACTTCCAGATTTTTTCTGCTGCAATTGCCTTAAAAATGTAACAAAACAGGCAGTAAAACTCCGACTCCCGCAAAAAGGAGCAGTTTTGCAGTTGAAGTTTGATTTGAGAATGTGAAAACCCGAATTTGCCAACGTCTCTCTCTCTCTCTCTCTCTCCTCCTCCTCACTGGGTGACAGTGGGCGATTAAGGCCAATTATGGCAGTGGGCGTCAGAGTTGGTGAGAGAGCGAGAGTCAGACTGATTCTGGTGACGTATTCGAGAGAGGCACTGCCGAATCCGAATCAGNGCAGTTGAAGTTTGATTTGAGAATGTGAAAACTCGAATTCACCAACGTCTCTCTCTCTCTCTCTCTTTCCTCCTCACTGGGTGACAGTGGGCGATTAAGGCCAATTATGGCAGTGGGCGTCAGAGAGTTGGTGAGAAAGCGAGAGTCGGACTGATTCTGGTGACGTATTCGAGAGAGGCACTGCCGAATCCGAATCAGCTCTACTGCTTCGGCGTCGAAGAAGAAGAAGAAGCAGTGAAGAAAGCACCGGTCTCGATTGCACGGCAGTGAAGAGGAGAGGAAGGGAGAGAGCGATTCTAAATCGGGACACTTTCCCTCTTTCTCCCTTTCCATCTCCATCCCCTTCACGTTCACTTGTTGCAGCACCTCAGAGCAGAGCAGAGGAAAGGGAATCGACAATCACAGCAGAATGCAGAACCCGAATCGGCTGAAGAAAGAAAGAGAAAAATGAGGTCACAGCGAGACGGTTGCACTCGATTCGACAGAGGACGAGTGAGATGAATCAAATCGGTGGTGATATCAGAAAAGCACAACGATTGATATCATTAAAAAGCAGTAAAAAATTAAAATGTAGGCTAGGGAATCAAATTCTAGTTAAACTGCTCAAATTTTTAGATCAAACAGTCAATTTGATCAGGAAAAAGTTATTCTTTTTAGCAAAATGTTTTTACAAACTCTGCAGTAGTTTCAAATGACAAATCGACGTAGTGTTCGGCTAAAGAAAAATAAAACTAGCTAAAACCACTCAAAATGAGCGTTGCCAATGTAAACACAGTGAAAAACTGCTGGTGAACTTGGTGAAACGGGGCTTTCAGTTCGGAGAAACTGAAAAGCTGAAATCGCTAAAATAAATTGAGGGTTGGCAGGGGAAAGAACGGCAACAACTTTTGCAGAAACTACCGCAGCAAGACTGGTCGGAGGACCTTGAACAGTTTCTAAAACTAAACACCGCTGCTGTCTCATTTCAGAAGAATTCGAGATTCCTAAATGATAACTGCTGCAACACAGTAAACAGAACAAAAACTCGTTCTGACTGTCTGACTACTGTTCAAAGTTGCAGAGGTCGATTTGAAGATTTCCAGGGTAGATTTGTAAAGAAAAATAAACTCATACATAATCTCGAGCACACTCCTGAATTGATATGGTTAGTCTAAATAGAGCAGAGTACTAAAGCAAAAAAAATCAGCGAACGCCAAATCAGTTGGTTAGTAGTTAGCTAAGGTTAGAAGTGTTTTAGAAAAGTCAAGCACAGCAAATTTGGATTGTCAGGAAAGAAGTCCACCACTTACCTCCAATCGGGTGAGGGCGCCCAGGTCAGTGCCATACTCGATGGAGATGTCACCGCCACGGCCCGAGCTAGAGCTCTGGTACATGTACTTTGCCGTTCTTGAAGACATAGTGAAGTTCCTTTTCAGTTGTGATCCAGGAACGAGGTGTGTGTTGAAGGAAAAGAAGTTAACACTGAACTGTAAGGTAAGGTGAAAGTGTAAACAGAAAAGAAGATTCACACTCGATCACTAGGAAGGAGATGTGCGTCTGTGTCTGTGTGTGCCGTTGGCTGTCGAACGAGTCGGACGAAAGAAAGAGGAGAAGATATTCGACGGATGATGCCCACCAGACAGAAGAGACCCGAACTGTAGGAACTCTCTTTCTGCTCTCTGCTGACTGCACTGCTGCTGCTGACTCTGCTGCTGCTGCTGCTCAACCGACCAACTCACAGAAGCACACCAGAACACAGTTGGTTCGAAAGTGAATTCGCTAATTTACGCCAGTTTCCAGTTAAAGGAGCTTCGTAAGCACTGTCGCGGGTGCTGAGAGAAAGAGGAGAGAGAAAGGGGCGGCATAGGCAAATGTCCGGTGCTGGCGGTATGGCTCAGTGCTGCAGTTGTCTGCGAGAGGCAAAGTGTTCTAGTGGTGGTGGCAGTGATGGCTGACGCCTAAGAAGGCACCCAAGGTGGGAGGTGTGGTGTCAGTCTCGAAGCTGTAGTCTTCAGTACGCGAGTCTCTCTTTCACTGCCTGGTGGTGTGCCCTTCGCTGCCTTACATTTTCCCTCTCCACCGTCGTCGTCGCCGTCGTCCCTGTCCGAATTCCGAACACACTCTCTCCCTTCCCCCAATTCCTCAGCACACCACCACCACCACATATTCGGCTGCTTCTTCGCTGGTTTGCAGTGTTCATCGATGGCAATGCTCAGAGAAGACGACAGTAGCTCTTCACTGCAATTGCTAGAGCACTGCTTCTACCACCACCACCACGCCTAATTCCGCACTGCTCACCAATGGAAACGGTGGCATACATTCTCTCTCTTTCTCCACTGGTTTCCTCTCCCGGGCTCACCACTCTCCCAGCAGATGATATTCCTCTGCTGAAGAGCCTGGAGCAGCAACAGATGACAATACCCAGCTCTCCTCTTCGACCAGAGATTCCAGGCGTCGTCCGCGCTGGCGCTGGCAAGCTGAGGAATGCTTCCCACTCCACTGAGGTTCTCTCTTCTCATGCTCATCGTAAATTACTATTCTAATGCGGTAATTAGCATGTCCCATATATTGAGATTCCTTTTATAGACATCCCTATCCGGGGTGGTGGTAGGCAACTCGAGTGGTAGTGGTGGTTGGGGTGGTGGTTGAGCTGTACAAAGCTGTACAACAGAACAGTCGTACAGTGAGTTTGCCGCTGGCTCGGCTCGCTTTAGGCCAACGCCGGTAGATCTGAGCACTTCAGCTGAAGAAACCGAGGCAGTAGATGCGAAGAGAGAAAGAGAGGAATGTGGAGAGAGAATGGCAGAATAGCAGAGTCTGCTCTATGGCATCCTCAAAGATTGAGTAGAATGAGGGGGGAGAAAGTGATGGAGACTTCAGCAAGCTCGAGCAAGAAGGCAAAAAAGCGAGCAAGGTAATGTGCACTTTCCATTGTCTTACTATTGTACTGAAATAAAAAGAAGCGAAGAGACACATTAAACATTGAAACTTCATACAGCAAACACTAAAGCTGTAAAGCAACAAAAGCAAATCAAGAGCACCAACAGCAGCAGCTGCAGCACATCGCCCACCCAGATTGAATAACACACAGGCCAATATTATTTTTTGCCCCTTCAAAGTTCTGTTGCTTCTGTTGTTGTTGTTGATTGCAACAGATTGCCCACAGTTTTAGCTTCTTTTTCTAACAGCATATGTTGCGCAATCCAAAGTGATCGATTGAGTGAGTGAACCGAGTTACCGGAAGGTTGAGCAACACTGTTGATGTTGTTTTTGCCGTGAGCCGATCTTAATCGATTAATCAAAAGCGGGTTGAAAAGAAGTAATCATGCTTTTATACCCAAACATTAATCGAACTGGCAAAATAAAAAATTAAAAACTTTCTCTGAAGTTAGCAGAAAAGTCTAAAAGCAGAAACCAGCCTGCTTACATTCAGTCAGAGACATTTCTACACTCTCTCCTAAGTGAAGGAAAAAGAAAGCTCAAAATGGATGAAACTGACTAGTACCATTTTGACTTTAAAAAGCGATATGCCTCCTCCAAAATAGTGCTACACTGCTGAAACACACAAGTGCTGGCAAAGGTGAAAGACTGCTACTGCTGTTCAGTCGATTGAATATGGTAAAAATATTGCCACTGCAAACAGAAGAGAGAAATCAGCAGCAGTAGCAACAGAAGTTCGACGATTGAATTCAGCAAGCAAAAAGACTTGTACAGTGCAGTCTAATGTACAGCAAGCGAGCAATCGTTTTCGACTATTAATAGTTAAAGAGAGGGAAAGTGAAAGTCAAGCAACCGATGACGATTCGTGAAAAAGGCAAGAGAGCAAGAAATGAGATGAGATGAGTCTGCACACCGAGGTGGCAATAAATTGGCAATGCTAAATGCAGGCAGACGAGAGAGTGCAGAGTGGAGACAATTTTAGGTGCACCGAAGTTTAAAATGCACAGACAGTGTAGAGACAGAAGCCAAAAGAGACACTTTACAGATTACCAAATTCACGCAATGCGTGCAATGCATCGCAGAGTGATGTCTGTACACTCGAGATGAGCTGAGATAGAGTCAGTTCCAGCTTCGGGCACTTTAAAACTCTCAGCTAAATTGAAACGCTTCAGCAACTTTGTTTGAAAAACAGAAACGGAAACCAGTCAAAATGACAGTTCTTCCGTTTCTGTGAATGCGAGCGCTTTGACAATTTTCCAATCCATTAGTACAGAAGCAGTTACGGCTAAGTTTCAAAAAATGTACCAAAGTTGAGCTAATAAATTAGATTGAACACTCAGCTACAGCTATTGTCAAACACTGAAGTACTTTCAGACAATGTTTGATGTCAACCCCTCTCTCCTGGCACCGATGAGATGAAATGTTGGCTGCCAAGTTAAAACAAAAAGAGAGAGTGCAATCAACTGCAAAGACTGCAAAGTGTAATAGCAAAAAGTGAAAACCTCATCGCAGTCTAAAATACTATTACAAAACTCTCAGTTGGGTAAGAAGGCAGTAAGGCAGTAAAGCGGTACGGTATTGTCGGCTGCAAGAACATTGCAAGGCGTAAATATAGAAGAGTTAAATGACTTGCAACTGAATCTACTCTAAACTGAAAGCTGAAGAACGGCATAAAAACTAAAAAAGCAAGATTTGACCACACAACTGGTCAACTGGCAAAAGGGAAATGGGGGTCAAGTGACAGTAGTTGACACCAGCAGGAGTGCCAACCAAGACTAGGAACTGAAACAAAATGGCAATCGGAACAGCAGACAGTTATGGTATAGTGAGCAGACGACAGTCTGTGTCTTTTGGTAGTGGTGGGTGAAACAATCAACGACAGTGTTGCCACTCTTCACACACACACACACACTGTTTCATTGACATCGACTTGACTATTTTAGAGCGGGCGTAATAATAATAATAATCAGCAGTGGCAAAACTGCTGGGAGATGGCATTTCTCCACTGTGCACTGTCTACTGAAACAGAAAGGAGCAACTTCAAATTCATGAGGCGACAGCGACAGTAGCAACAGCAACAACAGCATCTTCCTTTGCCGTAATTAGAAGCTCTTCAGGCTTCTTCTTCTTCAGCAGCAGCAGACGACAGAGCAGCAACCGAAGAAGCAGCAGTAGAAGATGCAGGACATATCACTCTCTGAAGAGTGGCACTCTACAGTGGAGCACTACTGAACGCGGGCGCCATTTTAATTTTAGACCTGCAAAATAAATGAGGAAAGGAGAGATCCGAAGCAGAAGCAGTGTCTAGCGACGGTGAGCAGCAGTGTGTGTGTGAGCAAAGAATGAAAGAAGGGGCAAATTATGAATGGCATTCGCCGCCAGGCAAAAAGAGACACACACAC